AGACGTTTGTTCTGCCATTCACTAACTCACTGGGATGACCCAATAAGAAGGTGTTTGGCCAAGCAATCGGTATAACACTGAGAAGAATACGGAACGTGGACTAACGTCTGACTTATCCGGTTGAATTAGGATTGTCTAAATAAGTTTGGCCCAGTAACTGAATGGCTCTGCGTTTTACCAATTCTAGCACTGATGTCTGCACCAAAAATTTACGCTTTAGCACCTGCACTGTAACTGAGATAAGCATATCCTTCCACTTTGTTACTGTATCATTCTGCAACAGCGTGAACTTGTAACTTGTCATTCTTTAAACATGAAGCAGAAGACTTCTTCTTCCAACATTAATGAATGGAATGTCGCAGGGAGTGGTTCCTTGCCTAAGCTGTGCGAGTTGAATGAACAGTGCACGCGTATTCATGTTCTTTCTTCCATTGCGGGTTACAGGAACAGGTGGCATAAACGTGCTGGAGTCAACTGAAATTTGTACCCTTTCTTTTCTGTAAAAAAAAACGCTTAATTAAGGATAAGAACCCAAATAAACTGATGGACTCATGGAAGTTTTGGAGATATTCTGACATTTTTGCTTCATTTCTAAGTTTTTTAATCCGTTTACTGGAATTTGTCTATTATTTCAAATATCCTATTTACATAGCTTTTTGTAGTCCTCTTGTGCATCAAAGAATACAAGATTTGATTATTTGTAGACCTCTGAACCCGGCCTAAGCTTAAGTCCTCAAGGGCGAGAAGATTTGCAGTTTTACTTCTCAGTGCTCTTTCATGTAAGACCAAATGCTTTTATCGACCAAATGCAACAGGTTGCCATCATCCGATTATGAAATTTTTTGATAATCTAAATGACGGGCTTTAAGTTCATATTTCATATCATGCACGAAATACGTCAAGTGGTAGAGGGGACGGATTTCAGAAGACAAAGAAAATATGATAGATCGATTTTGTTGACGTACTTCTTTATTCATTAGACGTTCCGTCGAACGTCAATTCCGTATCGTTGACGAAATAGAATGAGAAGGAAGCAAAATGGAGAACGGATCAATGGAAGGATGTAATTATATACCGGGGCACTGAAAAGTGGATCTTAGGATGGTCTTAACGGAAGAATGAACGGAGGCATTATCTGCAATACATTTCGTCGTTGCTCTGAGTAGATACGACATAAATGTCCTTAGATATGCATGACAGTACATAAAGGTTATTTTTCACTTTGTCGCCATTGAAACGTCGAAAACTCACGAAACTGTGTTTCAGCCATCTTAGAAAATTGTTAGAGAAAGGATAACGACGTGTTGAAGGAATATGGCCCACAGCGGCTGGTAATTTACCCTTCAAAGAATTAATTTAGCGTTATTAATTAGTCTGAAAAAACAACGGAAGCAAAATCAGTGCTGCGCCATTAAACATTTCAGAAAATTGCATGTTTAATATTTTGCTTGGATAAGCAGTTTCAGTTAATACAACTACAAATAAATAAAAGGCCCATCCTCAACCATAGGCTAATTTTCAGGTTCAGGCCAACGCTCATTCTTACACTTCGGATTGGCATTATGATAGGTTGGATCTTACGCTGAATCTTAGGTTTAGGCTTAAACTTATTTATCGCTACAACTTAGGCTTACTGGCAACAGTTAGTTTCGCATGGCATCGGTCAACATGAAATATAGTCACTTCTTTCGAATCGAATCATTAGATAGTCCACAACCCGTTAATTATAGCACCTGTTGGATTCTTTGAAAATGGCATTTGCATTTATGTAGCACAAACGTACTGGCGATAAGTCAAGCAATTAAATTTCTGCATAATAAGTGAGAAACTTACTATTAAACGACGTAGCACAGCAGGTTCTAAACTCAGCGACTGAACACATTGCACACACGCAAAGGAGAATAATGTCTTGGAAATTACTTCATTTCAAAATGCTTTTCCCAGCATGTATTCATGCCTTCACCATTTATCAATATTTCCGTGAGTACAGGCCTCTTTAATACGCAATTTGTAACATCTCTGGTATAAATTTTTAGGGATGTTCAAGTAGTCATTTGCTGTCGTTTGATTATTCTTAATTTATTGTCGAGTTGAATAATTATTATAAGACTGTTATCATGTCATTGTGCTTCTATGGTTCTTTACGCTGTTTCAAATGCAGCGTTTTTGTGTGCCTTCTTGGTTTACCTGTTTTATTTTTTATTTATTGCAACTGTGATTATATTTGTTCAGTTCATTTTCGTGTGAAATTCGGCAATTATATAATTCGAACTGTTTCTGCTACGTCTTTCGTGTTTGTACAGTGAAAAACGATGTTCGTCAGTGATGCCAATCGAACAGCAACATGTTCACTTAATTAATACTGATTACTGTGAGTTACAAATGTTAAAAAGCATATTAATTGCTAACTTGACAGGGTTGAATCACGAAGGACGCAGAAACGATTTCACACATAAATGAACCTGCGCGGAATTGTGTTTCGTGGCTGGTTCATGTGAAATGTACACTCTTAACTTGTGCTTACCGGTACGGTAGTAGTTGAGAATCTGCGCGAACACCCCCGGATGGCGGTCAAAGAAATACTCGTTCAACACCGGATCATAATTGGCCAAAGCCTTCGTCAGACGGGACAGCCTGGTGGCAGGGATCTTCTTCAGCACATGCTTGTATGTTTCGTGACGGATGCCGCCGACGTTCAGGATGACGCGGTTCTCGGGATCCATGCAACGAAGGCCGCCGTCGC